TTCCTCTATCTGATATAATATCCTTGGATAATCCATGATAGTGATAGATATTGTCAAGAAAGAGCTTAGCTATTTCTTCACCTGTGTTAAATTTTGTACATAATACAAAATATGCCATCTTAGTAAAACGATCTACTATCATGAATATAGAGTCATAAGAACTTGAGATTGGAAGGTCCATGATGAAATCCATAGAAATAGAAGACCATGGTAGTTCTAGAATGGATAATGGCTGAAGAAGTCCATAAGGTCGATGACAAGGAGTTTTTGATCTTGAGCAAACATTACAAGATTGTACAAAATCTTTGACTGCTTTCTACATTTGTGGCCATCAAAAGTCCCTGAATATTAGTTCCAAAGTTTTATTGTATCCAAAATGTCATGTTGATGGAAAGTCATGACGAGCTTGAAGAACACGTAATCGAGCTTTACCTTCTAGAACATATAGGCGTCCCTCAAAATATAATAGATTCTTCTTAAATTTAAACTTGGAAGTATCATGAGACTTTGAAGGATTTTCCTTAATATCACAAATAAGAGGATTAGAAGACATACTTGACTGAACTTGCTTAATAAAAGTTGAATCAATAATTAGTGTTGATTTCATTGCTCGAAGATAAAGATGCTCTAGCTTTAGGAGAATTGTCTGTTGTTGATGAAAAGCAGCATCTCCTTCCTTTGGTGCAAGATAAGATCGTCTAGAGAGTGCATTTGACAAATCTTGTTGTTTTTCTGGGCGATAAGTGATCTTGAATTCGAATCTTGACAAAGACATATTCCAACAGACTTAGCGACGATTCAAAATACGTGCTGACATAAAATATTCAAGGTTCTTGTGATCCATATACTTTGTGACTGGACTAGAAGCACCTTTTAGTTAATGGTGCCATTCTTAAAACAAATCCACGATTGCAAGAAGTTCTTTGTCGTGGATCTTGTAGTTGATCTCGACTGCTAGAAATTTTTTGGAATGAAAAGATATTGGATAAAGTTTATCTCTATTTCCATTTGTGACAATATAGCACCCAAAACAAAATCTGATGCGTCTGTTTCCATAAAAAAATGGCTTAAAAAAATCGACGTAATACAAGATTGGTACTAAAACAAAGGTTATCTTCAAAGCTTCAAATGCTATTTCTGCTTCTTGATTCCATTGAAGTTTGTCTTTGCAAGTCAAACATGTAAGAGGAGCTGCAACTTGAGAGAAGTCTTTGATGAAGATCCAATAGTAGTTGGCAATTCCCAAAAAAACATTAGACATCTCTTACCGTTTTTGGGATCTTTCAATCCATAATAGTTTGAACTTTCTTAAGATCCATCATAAGTCCATCATTTGAAATGATGTATCCTAAAAAGTCGACTTGGGTAGTGTGAAATACACACTTTTCTATCTCAGCAAAGAGTCTAACATCTCTTAGTTTTTGTAATACTTGGCGAACATGAAGTTCATGTTCTTCTGGGTTCTTAGAATAGATTAAGATGTTGTCTAGATAACACACAACAAAATCATCTAAAAACTCTCAAAAGACATCATTCATTAGATGTTGAAATGCTACTGGTGCATTTGTTAGTCCAAAAGGTATGACGTTGTATTCGAAATGTCCATACCTTATTCGAAACGCAGTCTTTCATTCATCTCCTTCTTTGATGTGTACCAAATTGTATGCTCTCCATAGATCTATTTTTGTATAGATCTTAGCTTGATTCAACTGATCAAGAAGTCCAGATATCAAAGGTAGTGGGTACTTATTTTTGATAGCGATTTTGTTGAATCGTCGATAATCAACACACATCTGCAATGATCTATCTTTTTTCTTCACAAATAAAATTGAAGCTCCTACTGGACATTTGGAATGGCATATGAAGTTCTTGGCCAAATTCTCTTCAATATATTCCTTGAGTTCAACCAACTCATTTTGAGATAAATTGTAGATTGGTCCAAATGGCGATTGTGCTCCTTCTTGAAGGTCAATTGAGCATACATAGGAACGATGTTTTGGAAGAGTATCTGCATACTTTTTCTCAAATACATCTTGAAAATCTTCATATTGGCTTGAAATGCCACTTGAAGTCTTTCTACCAGTAGAAACAGGTGTGGCATAAATGACATAAGGTGATTCTTCTTTTGCAGCATATAAAAAAGTACTTGCATCTATAAATATAGGTTTAGTTATACTAAACTGATGACTTTCTACTTGATTAACTACACTCTTAATTATACTTTCAGAAAACTCAAGACTACGAAAAGTCCAATCTATTTTAGGATTATATTTTTCTAGCCATGATAAACCTAAAATGATTGGATTAGAAGGAGATCTAATAATATTAAATATTATAAAGCTACTATGACCATTAGTTGTTATTTCTATAGGAAGAGTTTCATGAGTAACATCTCCTGAAGACAATGGACGACCATCTATGACTTTTACATGAACAGGTTTAGTTTTCTTTACTAAAAATATGCTATGTCTTTTAGCAAATTTTTCATCTAAGAAACATGCTAAGGTTCCTAAATCTAGCAAGGTAGAGGCTTTGAGATGTTTAGATCCTAGAATAACATTTATCGTATAACATGGAGAGGATTCTGTAGAGAGGATAGGACCTTCACTAGGCGTTGTACAAGGTTCCAACTGCACGGTCCCTATTTTAGCTGGACAAATTCGTTTTCCGACATGCTATCTTCTTTGATCACCGTACTCCTTATTTTACGGTTGCATTACTTCTTTGGACAATGTTGAGTAGTATGCTTAGGTTCTCCACAATATAAGCACAATCCTTCTTGACGACGACGAGTCTTTTTTTGCTCAGTAAGAGGTTTGAAACGTACTGCATCAATTTGCATATCCTCTACTTCCGAATATATGTGTTGAATAGATGTTGGTGTTGCTATTGAATTATAGTAATATTGAAGTCCACTTGTACGGTTCTCAGATCGGAATTCAAAAAGGTGATTATTGGACTTCACAACAAAGTCAATTGCTTGACTCAATGTTTGAGGATCAAATAAGTTGAACATTAATTTTTTTACCTCATATTATAATCCATAGAGAAATTGGCTAATAAGTGCAACATCATTCCACTTGATATCAGTTGCAAGTTGTCAAAATTATGAAGCATACATCGTTATTGATCGATTGTCTTATCGTAAAATACGAATCTTATTAATTGCAACACGAATTGCATCATGTTCTCCATACATGGATCAAAATTCCGCCAAAAAAGCATGTAGATTATCCAAAATTGGATCTTGTTGTTCAAGATAAGATAAAAATCATGATAATGGTGAACCTGAAAGAAGTGTACCAATGAATCTAACTTGTGATCATGGAGTTGGATAGCTTTGGGATTGAAGTTCAATCATAAGTTGTACTTGATTGATAAATCTTCTAAACTTTGATCTGGTGCCATCAAACTTCTCGGGTAGGGCAATTCTTAGTTCTTTAACATTGGAAGCGCATTCCACCATAAGATGAGGAACATGATTTGGTGCAGATATTGAAGCAGTTCCAATCATTTTTATATCTTCACTTCCTGCCAATCTTGTTGCTCTTTGTGGTGGTAAATTGAGTTGATGCATCGCAAACATTAACTCCTTCAATTGTTCTTGCATTTGTGCCATTGCACTCTTCATTTTAGCAAGTTCTGCCATGATAACACTTAGAAAAAAAGATGTCTAATATCGCTCAAGACAAATAGAAGAGAGGACTTGAGAACAAAGAAAATACTAAGGACAATATCAGTTTAGAAGAAGATAATCTGCAACTTCTCATATGCTTATGTCTTATCAAGAAAAAGAGGTAATCCACTCTTAATCAAGATTAGACAAAGCTCTGATATTGTAAGTGTACTCTTGTCAATCTGTCAAGGACAAGAACATTATAAAGAAAAATAAACAAGTGAGACTTCTTTCAAAGAAAGATGACAAAATAGAAATAACTATATATGTATATTAAAAAAAGGAAATGAAATGGCTATTGCCAAAAGACAAGAAAACTAGAGACCCTTGAAACTAGACTGGAAGCAAGAAAGGAGTTGACAAGAGTGAAGAGAGCTTTATTCTTGTCTCTATATATACTATCTAACTAGGGGCTACGTGGCGACGTTCTATAGGACCTTCAATATGTGTTGACTTTGTAGGACACATGCCTTGACTTACAAGGCAAGTTTTTCTATGTATGGGCCACATAGTTAGCTTGGTCTTCAAGCTAACAACATGTGTGGCACATGGCCAACTTGTTGACCACGTTTTTAATCCAAAAAGTCAATTAAAGACACCAATAAAGTCAAAGTAGCGTCTATAAAGCTTCTAGGAAGCTTTCATATCAAATACTATAGAATTAATTTCTTTTTACCTGCTTTTACTTACTTCTACTTATTTATACATGTAATTATTGGCTTACATGTATATGTCTGTGACAATCAAATAGAGCCCTAACAATAAAATACTTGCCACAATTGATGCACATTAAATTTGTGCGTTTGCAGATTTTCATATTATATCCTATATCTCTACCAAAGAATTGGATGGACATGATTGTTATTACAACCAATGTGGTATGATTGGCAAAAAGACAAGTTGTTTACAAAAGAAGAGACAAGTTTCATCAAAGATGGTCATGAGTCTCCAAACATGGCTCAACTTAACAAAGGCATGAGATGATAATGGGATGAATACCATTCAATGTAGTACAAGCATAACAAATGCATAGAACAATCATGTATCCTAATACATATTGAGGTTGACGTACTATATAACTTTTATATTAAAATATTGAAATGTACAACATTTTTATTCATTGTACAATTTAGGCTAAGATAGGATTTGTACTAAGCCTACTTCTTATCTTTACACCCCCTTGATGGTGCCACCGAAGTTGGCATCAAACCTCAAGACCTGCTATATGTGGTGCATAGAAGCGCCTAGGAGAGGGCGATATGGCAGCGGATGTGAAAAAGGCCACTGGGACGCAAGAAAGTAAGTGACTTTGGATTATTATTATTCCACACGGAGAAGGGAAGGAAGAGGACACACCATCGCCAACGCCATCCGAGGAAGCGAAGAAACCTACGAGAGGGCGACGACGAGGTGGACGATAAGAAATACCACGACGACGACGTGAATGAGGAGCAGCACTTGAAGAAGAAGAAACTACTTTCGGAAGAAGCAGCACCACCATCTGCGTTGTCGTCGGAACACGAGAGATCGGCACGAATGGCGATGCGATGCACCGCGTTTACATGCCGCCACTTGGCCCCTCCCATCTGCCTGCTGCGTCCCCTTTTCTACTCCCCTGCCCCTGCTGTTGCTCCTTCTGCTCCCATTGCTCATTCCCCGCTTTTCCTATCTTCTCAGCTCCGCGTCCATCACCCTCACTTCGACATCTCCCAGCTTGCCCGCACTCAGCGACAGAGGTTTATCACCACGCGCGCAGGTGAGGTGGATTCTCGCATTGTTGGAACGATGCCGGCGTTTTCTGACTCTTGTGTTTGCGTTGTGGGGTTTGTGATTGGTGGGCTTTTGGTGTGAGGTGGTCTTGTAGTTCTAAGGGTTGTGACGCGGTCGCTTTTGTGACCAGACGATGAACTGTTGTGGGTTTGTACTATTATCTAGGCTAACGTGGTTTTTGTTCCGTGTGGGCGGGGTTTGTGGGCACTCGTGACATGCTGTTTATTATTGTTTTCTGTTTGAATTGCAGCGTCTAGGAAGGACTCATTTAGGAGCCCCACGATGGCTTTGCTTCTTGAGAAGTTACAAATTCAGCGAAACGGGGATGCCAAAGATGTAAGTCCTTTGCCGTAATCTCTGCTGTTGGTGTTTATCGTGCTCGCACATATTTGTTGCATTTGTTAGGCTTCTTTAGATTGAAGTGTTGAAAGAAGGGTCGTTTTTATTGGGCTTTGTATTCATATCCGTCCTCAAACCTAGCCAGAAGCTTTTGGTCGTGTCCGTGAGATAACAATCACAGCGACTTGGTTCTAGATCAAGCTCGGAATCAGATGGATTGTTGATGAGTTTGGTTTGTCCAGGTCTTCGACGTGTATGTCGTTGGAGACGAGAAGGCCCCTGGTGTTGTGGTAGTGCAGGAATGGTGGGGCGTTGATTTTGAAATCAAGAACCACGCAATGACTATTGCGCAGAAGGGATATCGTGCTCTCATTCCCGAGTAAGCTTTTCCTGCCCTGAGAATCCATTGTTAAATGTATTCGTGCAACACTTGCACTGGCTTTGAGAAGATTGCATGAGGAGTATGTACACAGCAATGTAATTCTCTACGTTTTCGTCATTGAGTTGTGCAGCTTGTACCGCGGAAAGGTTGGTTTGGATGCAGCGGAGGCTCAGCACCTGATGGAGGGTCTGGATTGGCCTGGAGCTGTCGCTGATATAGCTGCCTCCGCCAAATGGTTAAAAGAGCATGGCTCTCCGAAGGTTGATGTTTTATTTAAGCAAATGATTATGCTCATCTCAGTTGAACTCATGGAACGCGTAGTGATTTAAGTTAAGTTGTAGAGACTGTAGCGTATTGTTAATTGGTTCATTCCTTGTCTAGTATCGCTTTTTGAATTCTTGGTTGTTTGACTTTCCATTCAATATCTGAGATGCATGGGTAGTAGGCCTCCTAGCAGTATCTTCTTTTTTGAGTTATTTCAACGCCTCATTCTCAATCCCATTTGAGTCGTGGTAGTGGAGAAATAATTCTGTGCAAATTGAATCGTTCTGGACAGGTTTTGTTTGATTAGTTTTTAGTTTTTTTCCATACAAGATGTCTGAGGCGTGGCATTTCTTGTTTGTAGGTTGGAGTAGTGGGTTTCTGCATGGGTGGAGCATTGTCTATTGCAAGTGCCGTCCGCGTCCCAGAAATAGACGCCGCCGTTGCTTTCTACGGCATTCCACCTCCCGAGCTTGCAGATCCTACCCAGGCCAAGGCACCTGTGCAAGCTCACTTCGGACAAAATGATAAACTGAAGGGCTTTTCAGATGCTGAGGTGAATCCTACCCATATGGTCTCAAATGTTTCCAAACCTTTCTGAGTTTGGATTGGATTCTGCAATTGTCGAGAAGCCACAAGCATTGTGATTCAGTCGTAACATGCATGTGTGTGCAGAGCGCAAAGGCATTAGAGAAGCAGCTGCAGAAGTCGGGTGTGCCAAGTGAAGTGTACATATATCCCAATGTTTCTCATGCATTCATGAACTCCTCCCCTGAAGGAGTTGAGCGGAAGATCGAAACTGGCTTCGGTGAGCACCACCAAGAGGTGGTGGACAAGGCTTGGTCCCACTTCGATGCCTGGTTTGGCAAGTACCTGAAGGCTTGAGGGAGCATAGTTAGAAGGTGTTTCCATTGTGTAAAGGTGGGGTAGGGTAGGCTGTTGTACGCAGCACACTGTCCAAATCGTCTGAAGATTCTGCAAAGAATGGAAGCTGTATAGTGTGCGGGACTCGGAAGTAAATCGTTGGATAACAGTGTTTATCATATGGAATGTATTGAATTCCCTGGTAGTATGTGTTGGTTTGATTGTGGTGTGTTCGATAGTTAATCTTAGGTTCACTGGCTTTAACAGTCCACATTTTGCGGTGCTTTTGTACATGTTTGCATGTCTCCAGTCACATACTTGATTTCTGATTTTCTATTTCTATTTCTATTTTACTTTCTTTCCAAAAGTGCTTCCAGAGGCATCCCTATCCTCGGGTTGTCAAACTGGATGTTCGTCACGTATGGGCAGGATACGAAAAGGTTGCATGTCTCTTGTAATTGGCAAATTGCAGTTTTACTCTTCATGAAGAAATGATGTGGGATACTTTCTGTGTGTACATTAATGTGTGGAACCGAAGTGTAGAATAGTATCCAAAGGTGCGCATCCGCACAAGTAAAACAGATTTGAAATAGAGATTTATTAAGTTGAAATTTTCCCTTTTTGGTACAATTCTCTGTAATGTGTTCGTCTTTCATGAAATGGAATGCTCGGTACCATGTGAGCCAGAGGTGATTAAAATGATATTATATTATCATTTAAGAAACCAAACAAAAACTCAAGCTCTATTTTTTCATTTCTTAAAAAGATCGAATTTGAAACAATCCATAAATCTGGCATTGGAAACAGAATCTATGTTTGATGTCTTCAAGTTTCCTAGAAATTGTTCAGACTAGAAACATGATGGTTGCAATTGCAAGTGATAGCCAGGGCAACCCCTGTGCACTTCGTAGTTCTTAACACAGTAAGTATGATTTTTTTCTACATTTTTTTTTTTATACTTGCTATTACAGATACACAAATGTGTGTGTGTATATATATATATATATATATATATATATGTAAGAGATTTCCAGTATAAATAGTCCAACAAATGCCTGTGGTGGGGAGAAGCATGGAATAAAGGAAGTTGAATAAAGGACAATAATTTCCCCAATATCTCTTTGTCTTCTGCAGAATTGTTTGAACTTGCATGGGTCCAACAAAAGAGAGAGAAATACATTATGTAGAAACTGGAAAAAGTACCTTCTTCCAGTTTAAAACATGATGGTTATCATTAAAACATGATGGTTGCAATTAAATGCTAGATTTTCTTTTCTCCAGTTTCTCCAAAAAGGAAAATCTAGCATTTAATTGAGAAAGTAAAAAGAAAAGAAAAAGGCAATGAGAACAGTAAAGCAGAGCAAAATATCATCATGTTCTTTTTCTTTTTAGTAGGTTCTTTTCTCTTTCAAAAAAAAAAAAAAAAAAAGTAATGTGGAATGGTTATGTGCTGTCAAAACGCAATATTTAAAATATGTAAGTTTTGAAAATAATCTTAAAAACACAATGAAGAAGTTGAGGGCATTCCTCATATTTAAATTTATAGTTAAGTCTAATAATTCTTGGAGTAACATGTAAAGATGGATAATGAAAAGTTGTCGTAATTTTGGAAAACATGGTTTGAATTCTATTAGATATGCACAAGTTTTTGAATTAGTTTCAAATATATTTAAGGGAAATGTTGAATACACCTCCCAAATTGCTATTTTCACCCCCTAGGTGACTTTTGGGCTATCTCTAAAGTGCCTCCAATGCTGAATATGAACACTTTCTATAATTAGAATTCCTATCTTCCACATGACTTTTGAACTACTCCTAAAGTATCCACAATGTTAAGCATACCTCCAAATAGACTCATCCTCCAAACCTTTGAACCACCAAGTCCCCAAACCTTATGGTATTTTAATCACAAATATGTTATTTCCACCCAAAACTTCCTACAACTCAAAAGAAGAGATGATGCACTATGTGAAGACATTTGCTCACATCTAAAGCTATGTTCCTACAAAGTTACGCTTTGATCATGTAAAAATATAATACAGCTAGCACAAGTAAGTACATTGTGGCTAGTTTGATTATACACTGTACACTTTTATACACGAGTTATATATAAAGATTGAGAAGATGCACCTCCAAGTAAGTACCATATCCAAACGAATCCTCAACACAAGATAGATATTCAAATTAGAATGAATTTCTTTGTATTGACGATTTGTTTGGATATTATAGTTGCTTAGTAGAGCCTCTTGGACATCTATGAATATGTTACATTGAAAGATTTTCTAATACTAATATTTGTAATGCCATCTCAAGTACTTGATTGTGCACCCACTCTTGCTCATGAGGTGCCAACATGTGATAGGTGCCTCTAACCTCATCAAAGATGAATCTAAGGCTATTGAAACACTGTTCTGCAATGCTTCTATACTACTTGAAACACTTCCATATATAGATTCAACTTCTAGTCCAAGCTATTACACATTGAAAAGGTGCCAAAGAAGATAGAAATTATCCACAAATAGGTGCACCTTTGCTTCAATTTTTATCTTCATTTGGTGACAATAAGGCAAGTCTATAATAAGTATAAAAGCATAGAAGCAGTCATTGATGTTCTCTACTTGAGCATATTTGGCTTGTTTTGTGACCAAACTAAATTCAAAGAATGAGATTTGTTTCACAATATTCTTAAATAGATCGTGGTTGCACTACTCACTAATAAAACTTGCTGTCATATTATGAATGTTCTTGCTTGAAAATACAGGAGGCACCTAATTGTGGAAGATAAGTAGAAATGCAACAACAATCCTACCAAGTTTAATAGAATCTTAAATAAACTTTAAATAATCTTTAATAACTCTAATAAAAATTTAATTAATCTAAAATAAATTTAAATGAAGTTATAAAAGAAACTCAAAAAAGTCCTAAATTAATCTATAAAAAAAATCTTAAAAAATCTTTAAAAATCTTAAAAATAAATCTTTAATATATATATATATATATATAAAGAAAAAATAAATATATATAAATATATATATTTAATTCACCACTTTTTGCTTCAATCAAACTAGTAGATATTGCCAATTATAAAATCCTTCACTGATCATGAATCTCAATTATCCAAAATTATAATCTACAAAATTTTCATATATTTAAATCTAACTACTTGATTGACTTTAAATTTTTTACACACATTTATAACAAGTACAACAACAAACTATCGAATTTCATCCATAAATATACTATGAAACTTAAAAAATCTTAAAATTTTATATATCTATTTTTTATTTTTTAAAAAATAAATCCACCAAATATATTATTAATTTTAAAAATCTCTAAAATTTTTAATATTAATCCAAATAAAATAAAATAAATACTCTAAAATCTCTACTTAATCTTTCTTTCAAATCTTACTCTTTAATTTATAAAAGATCCTTGAAGTCACCATAGGTGCGTGGTTTTGTGCTTTGAGGTCTGATTTTGACCCAAGTTAGCAATTGGTCCTTTCCAAGTATCAAGTTTTGATAAATTGAAGTAATTTTTACTTTAATATATTTTTAATTATTTCTTAAATATGTCTATATCAATTTCTTATCTTATTTACTTTTATTCGGCTCATTATGCCTCTATAAAATAAATAGAAGTCTCTTCTACAAAAAGTAATGTTAAGACTAAACTTTTTACTACCTTTCTATCATTTATCTTTATTTTTCCATTGCATCTTTTTATTAGGTTCTTCTATAATAATATCCATATTTTTATTTTTTACTATATAATTGTATTATCACACAACATTATTCTATACTTGCTTGTCCTTCAATTTCTTTGATATATTTTTTAAAGGCTTAGAAAGTCGAATTTGAACTTCTAAGAGGTATTTGATAGAAACTTGTAAGTAGCTTTTGAACATGGGATGCATGTCTTTTGCTTAGCACTATTGACATTCCAAAAATGTATTGCATAATTTGTTTATCCCTCCACAAAATACTCCTTGTACATAATCTAGATTGTTTGAAGAAACTGAAGTGTAGTTGAGATGTTCATATACATTTTTCAAAGCATGTTCTATTGAATAATGAAAATTTTAATTCTTGATAGCCAAATAATGTTTATCTATTATTATTGAAAGTTTTTTTAATCTTTGTTTGTCCTAAAATACTTCTTGTAATTTGTAAGAATATTCTTTTGAATATGCCAAATATATAGAAGCAATGTGGCATCAAGAAAGGTAATTGGTAGTACATTTATAAGATCTAGTTTACAATTGACTGTGATGGTTATTGGCTTGATTTCTTTATAAACACTTGTGAGTTGTTAAAGTATCCATTAGTAGTAGCTTTTGCTTTCTTTTCATATAAAGGCAACTTCAACAATGAAGAAGGTATTGAAAGTTGTTATACCAATGATATGGAGCATTATCATACAAAATTGATTGATCTTGTAGATGTAGTCCATCACTAGGGCATATAATAAACATGTATGTTATACTATCATCATTATTAATATAGTAGTCAAAGTAGAAGTTGATTCATGAGAATAAAGATATGTGAATAATTATCAAGTTAAAATTTTTAAATGTGTACTTTCTTATTATGAATAGTCTTTGCTATTGCCTATATGCTTAGATTGCTTTGTCTTAGAGTGAACAAGATGACATTTGGAGCAATGCTAGGAGCACCCATTTTTTGCATTGATTTATGCTAATCAAGCTCAAAAAGGTGTGTATCAAGATTTCTAATAATGTCACAAGAAAGGTTGTGGTTGCACTTATTTTTGGTGACAATAATATACCAAAGCTTGTCTGACTTACATAAGCATCTATTGAATTGAAACAAATAATTAATCTTTTGCATGGATCCTTTACAAATTTGTTATACATCTATTAAGCTCTATAATAGATTATATTTTCATCCATAGTTACATTTCAATACAATCTTCTTTCAAAGAAGATCACAACATATCTTTGTAAAAGCATGGCCTTAGATGTGAAAAAATGCTTTCGTAGAGAGCAATATTTCTTCTTGTGAATTTTTAAAAGTTTTAAGTAGAGATAACATATTTGCAATTAAAATGCAACAAGATTTGGAAGTTTGAGTGTATGAATTAGAGTAAACTTTTATTAATTGGAAGTCTAATTTAATTCATAATAATTTTAATTATCTATTTTTTCTAAAAAAAATCCTATTAGCATTTGATTTATATTCAATA